TAGACACCCACCAGCAGAGCATTTCCTCCATTGCCCCGCCGGTAGATGGCCGCCTCGTGCGGGCTTTGCTCGAAGCCTATCCCCTTTAGCGTGGAATCCAACTTGGCATTCCACGCCCTCGGTGCCTGCCGCAAGCCATAAAGGGCCTTGCGCAGGCGGAGCACCTTGCCCTCCTTGCCGGGGATCGCAAATCCCGGCGGCTGGTGCACGTAAACGTCCTCCTTCAAGTCACCGTTAAGGAACGCCGACTTGACGTCCATGTGATGAACACGCCAGCCCTCCTGGGCGGCTAGCGCAAGGAGTCGCACGGACTCCATCCGTGCCACGGGAGCAAAGGCGTCGTCGAAGTCGACCCCCTCCTGCTGCACGAAACCTCGTGCCACCAAGCGAGCCTTGTGCTTGACGATGGCACCGGCTTCATCCCTCTTCAGCTTGTACACCCACTTAAGGGTGATCGCGCGGTGACCACGAGGAAGGTCATCAAGCTCCCAGGTGCGGTTCTTCTCAACCGCATCCATCTCCAACTGCATCGCGGCGCGCCATGCCGCGTGTTTCTCGGCCTCTGCAAACAAGCACCGAGGCTCATTGTCGTCACACGCAAAGGTGCAATCGCGCCTCCAGTCGTGAGGCACCGGTCCCGGACCGGCCGGTCGCCGAGAAGGTTCTCCATCGTCACGGTACCGCAACGGCTCGCCGTCCGTGGTATGCGCGTCGACGCTGCCTCTCGTCGTGAGAGAGCGAGATAGCGAAGCTCAACCGGACCATGCTCGACAAGAGCCGGTGGTGGAGTAGACGTGCCGGAGGTGGTGCTGTCGGTCTTTGGAGTCGTGGCGTTGCTTGGTAATGGTGGAGCCGACGAAAAAACTCATCGCAGCCGAGGTCCCGGCCGGAGAGTGTGGTGCTTTGTCGAGTAGCGGCAGCGCCGGGTCGGTGGAGGCTCGGGGGCGGGGTAGACGCGCCTTCGCATAGAAGAAGAGCCGCCTACTCCCCAGCTCCTCGAAGTGGACGTACTTTCGACAAAGAAGTCGCCGTGACGCGTCGGAGCCGAGCCGTCGTCCACCGCTTTGTCCCACGCCCATCCTCGCTTTCGTCGCCGAACACAACGTCGCGCCGCCGCGCGCGCGTCGCGCGTGTCTCTTCGTCGAGGATGCGGTGAGGCCTTCGAGCCCTCCGCGTAGCCGGCGAACACTCCCGGAGTGCTCTGTTGTCGAGCTTCTTGATGTGGCTAAGCTCCTTGGCGAAACGCGAGGCGTACCAAGACCCTCAAGTGGGAGACCGCCGGCTTGCGCCCATGCCAAGCCTCGTCGGCCCCGCCGCCGAAGCGCTTTTGGTAGGCGGCGGTTGAGGATGTAGACGGCCGTCACCATCGCCTCTCCCGAAAGACAGTACCAGATCCCTCTCTGCTTGAGGAGGGCCCGAGCCATCCCCACAACCGTCTGGTTGCGCCAGCTCGAAGACGCCGCTTCACTGCTGGGTCAGACGGTCAGACGCGGAGTAGTGGCGCTTGAATGCCCTCGTCGGCCGATGATGACGACGCGAATTCAGACGCCGTGAATTCGCCGCCGTTGTTTGCGTGCACAACGCGACGTCTTGACTTGTGGCAGCGCTCCACCTCCACAAACTGCTGCATACCGATGGCGCCCGCATGCCTCTCTCCCTTTGTCAGCCGATGACCATCACCCACATGTAGCGGAGAGGTCGTCGACGAAGCGGCGCAGGAAGTAGCGTCGTCCTCCCGGTGTGGCCGGTGTCACCGGCCCACAAGTCCCCGCACAAGCTCGAGCCTCTCCTCCTTGGCTCGAAAGCTCGCCCATTGGGGAAAGGGGAGTCGCCTACTTTCCGTCAACACGCAGACGTCGCAGAGTCCTCCACATGGTCGAGGCACTGCAGCCCTCGCGACCATCTCCGTGGCACCGAGCCGCCTGGGGCCTCGAAGTGAAGGTGCCCGAAATGCTCATGCCATCGCCACGCCTTCGTCGGACGGGACGACGGCGGCGAGATGAGGGGTTGTGCCACCTGCACGTTGAGGACGTAGAGTCAATTTGCGCTTCTGGCTACCTTGGCAAACAGGCGACGACGGCGATCCCAAATCCTCATGACTCCATCCTCAACCATCACGCGTGAACCATTCTCATCCAGCTGTCCCAAGCTGATGGTAGAGTTCCTCAACACGGGATGTAGTAGACTCGGTGAGCGGCTGCGTGCTCACTGACACCGCAGCGGTGAAGATGACGGAGCCGACGCCCTTGATCTCCACGCCGAGGCATCCCCAAACTTGACGGAGCCTCAGATGCTAGAGTCAAGCTCGGTGAAGAAGTCCCGTCGACCGGTCATGTGATGGGTGGCGCCGGTGTCGAGGCACCACCCGTCAGTCTTGTCGTTGCCGGAGCTGTCACCGAGGAGGGCGTGTGCCTTTGGCTCGTCAAGGTGGAGAGAGCCATTGTGGGGCGGTGCATTGCCGGAGGTAGCTCGATGCTTGCATGTGCCATGAACAGAGCCGGCTCCTCCTCCGCTTTGTCGGCGACGTGGGCTGGCCGCGTCGTGGTATCGGCGATCCTTAAGCGTCGTCTCGTCGGCCTTGTTTCGCGGGCCACGCCACCTGGCGCCTCGCGGCATTACCTCTAAGACGCCCTTGCGCCTTACCTGGCGTCTCTGCGCGCTTTGCGTGGCACCGCCACGCTATGCGACCGCCGTCGCGGAAGAAGGCTCCCTTCTTCCGGTCACCTTGGCCGGCAAGCCACGCGCTCGTGAGTGAGAAGGAGCTTCCGCCAGGTGGTGATGGGCCCCGAGAGAGACGTGGCTCATCGGCTTGCCGACGACCTTGAGGCGACCTATCGCCTCCTCGATCGACATCGTGGAGAGATCCAGCGAGGACTCCATCGAGCGAGCCATCTGCTTGTACTTCTCGGGGACGCAGCGAAGAGCTTTTCGGCGCTCTCTCTCTCTCGCCGTGGGTGTCATCGCCGAATCGCACCATCTTCTCGCAGCAGAGTGTTGAGACGGAGAGCAAAGTCATCAACGTCCTCACCGGCTTGAAGGCCGTGTTCTCCCACTCCTTGCGGCGTGCTGCGGTGTGGACTTGCGCGCGGCCGCATCGCCGATCGTCTGCGCAGCGATGGCGTCCCAAGCCTCCTTGGCGATCCGCTTGTTGGTAGCGAAATCGCATCTCGGCGGGGATCGCGGCGATGAGGCATCCAGCGCCCGTCGATCTAGGTCGTGGTCGACGCCGTCGACGGACTACCTCCCACATGTGTCGCACTGAGCTTTACCTCATCACCACACCCCACTCGGCGTAGTTGGTCTTGGTGAGGGTAGGCCACCCACCGCCGGGACCGACGCGTCCACGACAACGATCGGAGCCCGTGGTAACCACGGTCATCGATCCGGGAGAGCGCGCCACGCCTGTGAAGGCCGCTGCTCTCCATTGACCCGTCGGTACCGATCCGGGAGAGAGTCACGCGCACTGTGAAGGCCACGCTCTCCATCGACCCGTCGCCACCATTGCCACCGCGCTTCTTCTCCGAGCGCGCCTTCTCGGCGCTTCTCCAGAGCACCGCCGCCATGCGCGCCTCCACCAGAGGCGCCGCCAGCGCGTCATGCGCTATGCCGAAATTGCCGCCGCGCTCGTGGGCGTCGCGGCGCCTGCCCAGAGCGCCACCGCCGCGCGCGCTCCTCCAGAGCGCCGCCAGGTAGCGTCCGCGCTTTGTCCGGCTTCGCCGCCGCCACGCTGTGGGTGTCTTGCGCGGCCTTCATCGCGCCGCCAGCGCTTCGCCGCCTCCCTCTCTAGCGGCTTCGAGGTCTGCGTCGGCGGTGTCGTCGGCGAAATGGAGCTGCCGATGCTTGCAGCAGAGCCTCGACCTCACGCTCTCGCCGCGCCGCTACATTCGCCGCCGCCGGCTTTGCCCTCCTCCGCCTGCCTACTGCTTCGCCGCCGCCTCCGACGCTTCTTGCCGCCGCTTCTCGCGTTCTCTGCAGGCAAGTTCGGCCTCCTGTCGACGCAACCGCGTGCTCGAGGCGACCGAAGGCCGAGATCGCCTGCGGACATGACGCGCGTGGCAAAATTCAGCTGCGTGGGGAGAGGGCCGCTTGACGAGCTCATGCGGGGAGAGTGAGCGAGAGCGGCGAGCTGTTGCTCGTAGTCTGGGTGTTAGTGGTGGGAGAGGAGAGATGAGCAGAGATGCTCGAGCTACTGAGATAGTACGCCTCGATACCGGGTTGTTAGTCGTTGAATTCTCACTCTTGGTAGTAGCAGAATTCTTACTCTCATCGAGAGAGGATGACATTAAGAGTTGGGGCAATTTTCTGGTTTATTTCTCACACAAATGCCATGCCAACCTGAGGGGTTGGGGATGCATATTTATAGGCTCTAGCCAGCCAAGCATATGCTAAGATGCTAGTCTAAGATGTTAATCTAAGATGCTAAGATGCTAGTCTAAGATGTTGTCCTAGATGCTAATCCTAGATGCTAAGATGCTGTCCTAGCTAACAAGGATCTTGTCCTTGTGGCAAAGAATAAATAACAAATCCTTGTGGCGGCAAGACAAAGACCGGCAAGCCCCCACAGTCCTTGTGGTAGTAGTACAGCAACAGCTAGCAGCCCCACAAAGACCAAACCAGGCCCCACAAAGACCAAACCAGTCAACACAACACAGAGACTTATCCATCAGGCTTCACGCCATTGTTCATTATGGAATTCAGAATTTTACAACATCATATCAGCTTGATTTGAAAGCAGCTATCACCCAAACACCACCCATTAGTCCATGAATCCAAATTCTATGTAACAATTTACGATTGTGTGCCTTATGTAATTCTCAATAAGTAGAGCGTGAGCTTAAATTTGCACAGGTGTTCAGTGATAGTGGGCAGTGCTCACCTCAATAAATTCAATTTTGCAGGAGAGGAAAGATACTAAAAGTGCATCTCTAAAGTTCAAAGTATGTAAAAGACAGGAATTATATGATGATATGTACAACAGATTTGAGGATATATCGAGTTACCATGTTTTGCAATGTAGTCAAAAGATTCTAGAGCTTCTGAAGTTGTCCGATATATGTTAGGAGACAAGACATGCACAAGGTGTTCATCAACCCACCTAGATCAAGGGAAAAATATTAGAAGGAAGAAAACAAAATAGCAATGTTTCAAAGAGCACAAGGCCCTAGAGTGGTGGTCAAGCTAAAAAATTCTAGAGCATTTGAAGTTATCCGATATATGTTAGGAGGCAAGATATGCACAAGGTGCTCATCAACCCACCTTGATCAAGGAAAAGTATTATAAGGAAAAAAAAAGCAATGTTTCAAAGAACACAAGGCCCTAGAGTGGTAGTCAGGCTCAAAAGTGCCCAGGCGGCTTCTGGCATATTAATGAAATGAACATGTAAAAAATAGAGAAAAACACCTAGACAAAATGCCTAGCAGTAAACAAAGTGTTAGCATGCCTAGAGCATAGGCAACGCCTTTTTAAGCACTGGTTTAGGCATAACTATTCAGATAGTGGTGGCGAAAGCAGGATTCTAAAGAACTGTTACCAATATAATACCAGTTCACCCAGAATGGCCAGTACTGATAGTGAATAGTATAGTGATAAGGTCAGGACAGGCAACTGGGTTCGCACAAGTTTCTTGGAACACGTGTGGAAGCGTAGTTCTAAAAGAAAAGTAATTCACAAATATTTGAAGTTACTAGAAGAACCTGAAATTCAAGGACAAATTTAATTTGCTGTTTGTTTTTGTTTACTTTATGGTTGTTAAGTCATTTTCATCTCACTACATAATTGTTCACATACAAAGTACAAATGGACTTGTGCATGAAAGTTAAGAACAATGTGAGGCCACGCTACCACTACTAAAAGTGAAATCACAAAAAACTTCATTACTTTCAACCTCCAAACCATGGGTTCAAAGAAATTTTGAAATGATAAGCTATAACTTAAATAGTAATTAATGAAAGTAATAGATAAGATACCTTCGCCATTTTGCTTCCTCATCATTAGTGAGTTCATCAGGGTTGATCCTGCCCTGTAGTATATTGATTATATCTGCCAACAAGATCGCAAAAATGCCAAAGGATTTCATTGTTCAGCCCATATGAGAAAAAGCATGTAATTTGTGATTATCACAATGTAAAAAGAGACAAAAACTATGTAACAGCAAAGAGTAACCTGATGAATCAACAAGCTCTTCACCATCTACTGTCAATATTGGGACTTTCTTGTAATCAGACCACTTGATTTCCTTTTTGCTCAATGGATTAACTTCCACAACTTTATATGGTATATCATGATAGTCTAAAAAGGCTGAGATGAAGGCAATGGAGAAAAAGTTAATGTCATGGCAGTGGGAACATGTATATTCAAGAACAGAAAAGTATATTGTCCTCAAGCAGACAATTTCTATAGTTCTGCTGTTATGAAATGTTAATACCAACATTTTTACAAAATGTATTCCATTTCATTACCCTCACATTTAGGAAAATAGCTTGGCATCTAACTATTATTTACTGTACTATAGAGCTCATGGACCAAACCCTGTCAAACATTGGCACGGAGAACAAAGACAAATCACATTCCAAATTCCAAATTTAAACATGAAGTAAATTGCTATCATATCATACTTCAGAAACATAACAGTTTCTATATTCATACATAAAAAGAGAGTATAACTCTCTGCATCTCCGTCGTTCGTATTGTTTACCAAGAACAGCTTCTATATTTATTCTATGTTCAATTATGGTGATTTGTGAACTTTATTGTCTGAGAGTTGAGACTAGTTGAGACTGCCTCTTGTAGTTGTCTAGTTGTGTATAATTGCTATACATTCTTATTTGGTTGATGCAAGTTCAGACTTGGAGAACTGGTGAACAGAGATGCTTTGGCTTTTCTGTTGGCTCATTGGAAATTTGCAAGGAAAAGTGCAAAATGGGTAAATGACAATATTGCAAGGTAATTTCAATGTTCCTGCTAGGTTGCTAGTAATTTCAGAACTTTAGTAATGCAATATTATTTATTTAAAACTACTATGATGTATCCTTGTATCAGTTTTTTTTTGGAGGATGCCACATCCACGTATCCATGCTGCATATGAGGCTGGTTGCAGCATAAATGTTGACATCCCTATCATTGTGAGCAGCATGGAAACATGGGGGTGAAGGAAAATAAAGAGAATAGACAAAGCAGAATATGGTGGCTTGCCGCATATTGGCTGCTATATTGGAGCTAGATGCATCAAAGTTGCCCTGTCATCCACTTTTACACGGGTTAGCAGAAGAAACAGGACCACCCCAAGATGAGTAAGATCTTTATGGTTTTAGTCCAGCAAGTTACCTACAGGATCAACAATTTTGAGATGGCAGGTTGCATCCCTGTCTCTTCAACCTTTGACCCAATAGAACTTATGTTTCTTAGGGAAAAAAAAGAAAGACAAAAATGTGATGCCCTGCTGATCCCTCATCTTGTCAGTGCCACCCCGCTCCACCATTATTCTCTATTGCTCCACTATTATGGAGCAGCAAAGGAAGGCAAGTTTTCTTGTTTCGTTTGGCTTTCTCTCTCCCCCCCTGTCCGCTCTCTCACACTGCGAGTTCTTTCATTCCACCCAATCAGTAAGAAGGAAATGATGTGGATGTGTAGGTGCTTGATATTGCAGCAGAAAGCTCGGTTTGGAACGTGTTGAATTAATTCTGGAGGCAGTTGGGCATCAGTTTTGGAGATAGTGGATCGTGTACCTGGATCGCACACCTCGAAGGATGGGATTCGATTCAAGGGTCTCTCTCATCCATAAAGAATTGTGTAGGCATGGAAATACAAGGCGTTGGACAGTTTTCAGACCAAAGAAAACTGGATCTGTACACAAGCTTGTAGCTGGTTTGATCCAGGTTGGTCTTGGATTGGTGTTGCAGTTTCTGCAGTTCCAGACCAAACAACGAATAGTATTGGCACCACCAACACTGCAGTGACACAGGAGGGACACTACTGTGCAATGTGCAATTGTGAAAATACAAGTAGTCCTCGTGCAATCAACTTATTGGTCATGTATCATCCTCATCTTCAGCAATCTAGCACTCCTCTCAGTAGTGATGCACTGTTTTGTGATGAATGATTGCTTCCTGAATTTACCAGATTAAGTTCATCTATTGTGTTTGTTTTATTCATCTATAAGCAAACAGAGCAAACCATGTAACATTTTATTATATAAGATGATGTGCTCCTACCAATTTTTTTAAAAAGAAAACCATATATTCCTACACAAAATGAGTGACAAAAAATCTCCTGATCCCAGAAGTAAGTGGGAAACTGATTTCAAACGTAACATACACTGGAAGGTGTCTCACCTCTGACCTTGTTGCAGAAGGGGCAGGCCTGGTACTGGTACAGCACCACGTTCTGCGGCAACAGATCCGGCTGCGGCCGCTCCTTGGCCTTGGCCTCCGCCGCCGCAACAGTAGCGAAGGTGAGGGAGAAGGATACTGCGCCGGCAACCCCAGCAGGCATCACCCTCGAGAATGGAAGCGGCGAACGGGGCACCGGCACCGGCGTGGCGCACCACCGCGCGCCAGCGGCGGCGGCGGCCGTGGCGGGGGAGGCTGCGCCGTTTAGATGGCGCGCGGAGAGGAGGGAACGGGAGACCAGGGTCTGCGCCGCTCGCAGCGACCTCATCTTGGCAAGGTCCTAGGGTTTGGCCTGGTCGGCGCCGGGGAATGACCAATAGATCCGATGGTTTAGACTGTCTCCAGTAACGAAACGCAAAAGCAATTGCGTCGTCAAAATGCTGTCTAACGCAAAACCCAAACAGCCGACCGAGTACAGGCAAATAAGCATCTTCGGTAGCGGGACAACGCAAATCTATGCCGCAAGACGACGCAAGAGCTCGAGCGCGAGCTCCGCCGGGCGTGGGCGCGAGCTCCGCCGGCGCGGGCGCCACCGGCCGGATCCGGGAGAGGGAGGGTCGGGGAAGAAGAAGGGGAGGGAGGGGGGGCTGGATGTGGCCGGGAGAGGGAGGGAAGAAGGCAGGCCAGCGTCACAAGGCGCCGCCGCTGCTCAAGGCCAGCCAGCCAGTACAAGCAACCACCCCACGTCGTCGCCGTCGCCGTCGCCATGCCCTACACGGCCGCGTGGGAGAGAGAGGAAGAGAGAAAGGCAGCTGCGTGGGAGAGAGAGGACGAGAGGACTGAAGATATTTTGCCTTCGCTGTTGGAGACGGAAGAATTTAGGTAGCTCCCTTGTTTCCTGTATGTTACCCAAATGGTGAAATTTGGATCGGCTCGGTTGGAGATAGTCTTAGCGGCAGCATATAAGGGCTCTAAAACCCATTGCCCTATTTCTCTGAACCAAGGTTCGTCGTCCAGATTTCAGCGTATACACCTGTTTGGTTGGTTCGCGGCCTGCCAGCCAAACACGTATGAAAACACTATCTGGCTACACGTTCATAAGGTCCTGCCACTCAATCAAGAAGCTAAACAAAGATTTTTCTAAAAAAATCCTCACAAAAGATAGTACATGATTTTTTTTAAATCCTCAGAAATAATAGTATATGTTGTAATATCTGAGGGCACACCCAAACAAACACCACCATACACAATCCTTGCATATACTAACACACGCACATGTCTACGAGAAATTCACAAGCTCATTCACGAGGACAAGCTCCACGGAGCGACGGACGTCCTATTTCTCATTGTGATATCTTAGTTGGGGAAAAACTTCGGATGAGACACAACACTTCCACCATCCGCGCTATGCACGGTTCTAAGCTAAAGATCTAAACCTAAGCCAACGAAATTTAAATCTAGGAGCTAGATTATGACAATTTTTTGTCCTCCAAACAAATAGCTCATGGGTTGCCTAGCCCGAACAAACAAAATATTGGATGGGCTCATATTTTTTTTATTGAGTATATTTGAGTGGATTATATATTTTTATTGGGACTTATAAAGCATATAAATTTAAACTAAATTTCTTCAAATTTTTATCAATCTCTATCTCCTTTTTTTTATTTACTGGTTTTCTTCTTATTTTCTCTATTATTTTTCTTCCTTTTCTGCTTGGATTGGATCCACCTTCCACCATAGCCACGATAGTTGTGGTCTCCATACCTGATATCCCATAGTTTAACTATCATTGTTACATCATTGGCTCTATTTGGAATTGCTTATTAGTCAACTTCTCATTGGAAAAACAAAAGTTGTTCTAACTATGACTAGTTTCTCCAAACATGCATGTACCTCGATAACATAAAAATTGAGAAGCCCATCGGGAGTTTTTTTTTATCATGGCCCCTTGGTTCTCGTCTCCCATTCACACTCGTGCCATCACTGAGCTCGCCTCCTCCTACCTCCTCCATCGCTCCATAGGCTCATTGCCACCTCTTCTATCGTCGATGCAAGCTTCGTGCGCCTTCTCCACCGATGATACCGGTTCCTCTTCTATTTACTATGCCTCCTTCTCCTATCTCATCCACTCATTGGATCTTTTGTCCTCCTTCGCCATCACGTGGGCTCCTCTTACATCTACAGCATCGATGGCTCCTCGGCGCTATTATTGTCGGACAATTGAGAACCATGCACTACTCGGCACCATTGATGAGATCACACCTAGGGCCAAGGACAACGCGTGAGCTGCTTAGCTCAAATACCTCTTCTTCCACAAGATGTGTGCCTACCACATTGGCGGCGGGGGGGTTGTCTCGCTCTTGCCGTGGCTGAGAACATGGAGGATAAAGCGGATGATAGGGGAAACACGCGATTGACTATGGTGCAACAATTGAAGACCAAGCTCGACAGAGGCCTTCCCAAGCGGAACGGTCAGAACTCGCCTTGATTGGGTCGGCCCCTTCTAGGGAGCGAGCACCTGGATGGACGGCCAGCCGAGCTATCGTGGGCGCTGGTAGTGTCGGGGGCCTCATCAGAGCTTAGTCGATCGAGCGGTGCCATCGCCTTAGCCTTTTCCTCCACTAATACTTCTCTTGCATCGCGGTCGGAGCTCGCGGGGCCATGGGACGCCAAGACTATGACCGCCTAAGCGACGCAATCATGGTCACAGTAGTAAGCCTGCTCGAAGCTACCTTCGACGGTGATGACCCTGTTGGGGCCGGGCATCTTCATCTTCAAGTAGGTGTAGTTCAGGACAACCATGAACTTCACGAAGCATGGCCATCCGCAGCAGGGCATGGTAGGTTGTAACACCCTAGTGTTAAGCTTTGCATTTGGCACTTGCATTTCATTAGCACAAGCATCATCCAAGTATTCATGAACATTAGCATATGAAATTTTATCTTATTCTTATACCTTATCACATGAAATGTTGATTTTATATATATGCTTATGCTTGTAATCTTATATGATTAATGTATGAGATGGTTATGAGGTCATGAAAATGCCCTAGACACATCTAGAATGATAAATAGAACAATGTTTATATTCAGGACATAGACCAAATTTGCTTCGAAGTGTTGGTTTCATTTGAAATGCTATTTTCATGATACTAGTTTGACCAAAGTTGAACAATAGCTTAGAGTGTTTGCATGGTTGTGTGACCTAAATAAAAGTTATAGTTCTTATTATGGGTAACAAACTTTATTTAAGGGTCATGAGCTAATTCAGTGTCTAACATGGTCAAATAGAGCTCGCAAGTATCAACAAAATGTTGTTTTCAAAACTTGAAATTTTTCTGAGGCTGTTTTCAGTTTCAAAGTACCTCACTTTAGAGCTTTATAGTTTGAAAAACATTGAGAATTAGATGATGGTTTCTAAAGCAAAGTTGGAGATCTCACATAGCTCTACAACTTTCACTAATACCAATTTTGCTAACTCGAACTGGATTAGGAGATATAGATGAATGAAGTAGCACTATCAGTCGCTGAATAGACACTTAGTCGATTTGGATCGGCTGGCCATCGTGGCCGACCGTGCTAGGCCGCGCACGGCGTGTGGCAGCTGCACACGGTGTCGACCCGGCTGGTCGGGCTAGCAGGGGAGATAAGAGAGGCGAAGCCGCCACGCTCACTCACTCTTGCTCTCTCTCTGCCTCTCCTTCACTCCGCCAGAGCAAGCCGAGTGCCGCCGTCGTCGCCATTGTCGAGCTCCACCGCGCTCGCACGCCACTGCCACCATGCCACTGTGTGATTGCTCGCGCACACCGCTTAGCCACCATTGCCTTAGTTAGAGCCCAGGTAATGCGACATTTCACGTCACCGTCGCCGCCAGGGTGACGGAGTGCCGCCGAGCTCCGAGCTCGCTGTGGCCAGCCCTATCAATCGCTCCTCCCATCTCCCTCTCTCTTGATTCATCTTCATCGTAGGTCCTAGAAGCTATAGCCGTAGCTCGTTGAGCCGCTACCGCGTTGCCGGTGCCGGAACACGAGCCACACCACCGTGAGCCGAGAGCGCCGCCACCATGCACGGCGCCGTGGCTATGGCTATGCATGCCCGGTTCTTTTTCTCGCGCGCTTCTAGACGTTAGAGTTAGGTTAGAGCTAGGTCTAGCTTGAGGTAAGAGCCTAAGGCAAATGCCGGTCTCATTAGAGCGGAACGCTGCCATGCCGCCATTGCGCTCACGCCGCCGCTCCACCCTGACCTAATCCACGTTGTAGAGCTTTGCTAGGGTTTGTAGATGCCGTAGCTGCGCTCGCCTGGCCATGCTGTCACCGGGGATGGCCAAAGCACCACCGCGCGCCGCCGCTGAGCCGCCATGCTCACCAACGAGCAAGCTTTGGTGATCCTCCGAGCAAACCGAGGGTACCTGTAGGTGTGGGTTGAGTTGGGGAACACATAGGTGGTGACGCTACAGCCGGTGACCTCACCGTTGGCAAGCTTTTTGCCGGTCAAGCCACGCGCCCTGCTCTATATGTCGCTAACGGGTGGGTCCCGTTGACCCGCGGGTCCCAGCTGTCAGTTGGTTTTTGAAATGTTTTTCCTGATTTATTTTTATAGATTTGAATGCAAACTTCAAAAATTCATATCTAGAGCTAGGAGTATCCAAATGAGGTGAACCAAATTTTGTTGAATTCATATTGAAGTGTATTATTTAATAAAAATATGAAATCTACTGTTTAGGGTATTTTTATAGGAGAATTAAATTGAGTAAGATAAGTGCTTTTTAAATAGTTTCTATCTTGTAAATTGCATAACTTGAGCTATGAAGGTGATAAAATTGTGATTCCAATTTTACTGGTCTTGTGTTGACATGCTCTAGTGAGGAAAAATACTACACCTACAATATTAATAATTAAATATGGTCTTCATATTTAATCCTAATTAATTGCTAGTTTCTAGTGAAATTAATTAGGGTAAAAATATATAACATATGATCATACAAATTTTTACACAGTATTCTCATACTAGGAGAAAAGTAAAAAAATATTAAATCCATTGCTTGACACTTTTCACTATGCTAAACTATTTATGCTAAAATAAGCATATGTAACTTATCATTTTTGTAGAGGTAGATATACTTGTCCAAATGGCATGAAATTTATACAGTAGACTATTAGGGTCATTTGTAGGCTACTGTAATTGTTTTAGAATTTATTAAGCAATGGAAATATTTATCCTTTAAATCACCTTATTATATAAGGAAATTAATAAATAAATATAAATAAATTAGTTAGGCTTAACCATGATGTTTTCTGTGTTGTGTGTGATGCATATATTCTGTTGATAC